GTGTTTATCACCATCTTCAGTCTCATTGAATCCTGTTCTTTTTATCGTCTTCTCTCCTCAATAACGTTTTCTCAGTTTTCTTCATTCTAAATAACCGCGTATGTCTTAGAGGCTTTAACGCCTTGCTTGGAGTGAAAAAGAACGAGTGACGTCTGCTCTCAAACGTGACAGTTTTCTATTATGATGTGAGAACGTGTTCCAACGTCCGTCACTGCATAACAATGATGGCATCCAAGGTCGCTTAGCAATGTTCACAGGTTTGTCTTTTTGTCTTGATCGCATTCAACAAAGAATAACGACAAATGCTTTTTAAGACACTGATTGAGAATTATTGATCAAGACTATTTCTCACATAACCGTGATCTTCCTTCGGCGTCGAGGCGAACTGCTGTGTTATTAACTTCCGGGCACGGAAAGAGGATCCTTACATTCCCTGACCGTCTAGGCGACTGCTGACTACTCACTGGTCGCTTTTCCCTTCCTCACTGACTGCTCCTGACTGACCAACTGCCAGCTCCTTCCTTAGTGACTGCTCCTGACTGACTACTCATTATATGTTACCGGCTGTGGTCCCACCACCCCTATGCGTCCACTTGTGTTCCGGAAAAGGAAACCAACCAAAAGCTAGATTGATGGTAAATTTTTTGAAAGGACTCTACTTTCATGATTATCTAAAATCACTAACAAAATTTTATGTTTGCCAATTTAAAGGCAAACTGGAGATAGGAATCCTGAAAATTCTGGTAATTAAATTGACTTAAAAGGAAAAAGAATCTATCTATTTATCTCCTAAGGATGTCTGAGAAATCGCATAGTTACAATAATCTATAGAAGAATTTTAAAACCCACGTCGTTGAAGTTTACTGAAACTCGTAAAGATATAAACGTTCTGTCAGAGGCTTTTCTCTTAATGTTTACTGATGGATATGTAAAGAATACCTTAGACTTTTTATAGAGATATAATTCTATGTTATAGAGTAAAGAAGACAATGAAAATTTGAGAATGGGAAGTACAGCAAATTAGAAATCTAACCTCGTCACCCGTTGTGTTGCTTGACACCGATTCATTCAAATATTCCTGAGCTATTTTAAAGGAATAACATATCATGAAAACCTACAAGATTTGTGGCCGTTTCCCTAACTGTTTTGGTGAGATATCAAATAAAATGGCAAATTCGTTGCTTCAAAGAGTAAAGCCTGTAAAAACTGATAACCGCTATTGATTACAATTTGATTCGTATTCGGAAACACATCTTAAATAATTGCTGAGTAAAAGTTTCTATTTACCAATAGGTCTATATAAATAACTTTGCAATATCTCAGTAGAAAACAAAAGTCTGAAGCTGACGCTTACCAATAAACGTATTTATGCCGGCATTTTGAAGAAAAACAATAATCATAATTATCTCCATTATTCGGATTATTGTCCTCATCTTTGTCGCCATATTTATTACAATGTTTCGGCCGTTTACTCTCCGGCCTTCTTCAGGTGGTTGTAACGTCGAACTGAACCTTTTATTTCGCTCACTGGGGTAGATTGTTCTAGTTCCACGTGCCATGTTTAATGGGTGTCAGTTATCAGTTATCACCTGTTAATTTCCCTCTGAAAGTTCTCCACTGACTTAACCGGGTATTGAACTCACACTCTTTGGGTCCTGTCACTGGATCTAACCAACGCCTTAATACACTGTGCTATCCTTGACGACATCTGTGTATGAATTTCTGGGTATTATAAACCTAATGTCTTCAGCAACCATTTTTAACCAGTGCTCATATTGCAATTTTTGCTGTTATCATTGCATATTTCTACAATATGAGCACTGGTAAAAAAAATAAAATAAAAAGGTTGCTGAAGACATTAAGTTTATAATACCCAGAAATTCATACGCAGATGTCCTCAGTGACATGACACAGTGGATAAAGGCGTTGGTTAGATCGAGTGACAGGACCCAAAGAGTGTAAGTTCAATACCCGCTTACGGCAGTGGAGAACTTTCAAGGGATTACATTAAACATGGCATGTGGAACCAGAACAGTCTACCCCAGTGAGCGAAATAAAGGGTTCAGTTCGACATTCCAACCACCTGAAGAAGACGAAACGATGTAACAAAATAGTCCGAATAATGTAAATAATGTACATAATACCTCATCTCAGAAATATAGTCATAATTATCTGTCTATTATAATCATCAACGGCAATGTACTAATAATATCTAACGCTTACAATGAAATATGTCGTTTCATCATCCATCGTTGCGTCTAGATTCTACAGTGCTGATGTTTGGTGGAGGTGCCGAAATAAATTAAAGGAGGACGTATTTTTGAATGTAGCTTTCTCAGATGGGAAGGTTCTACCTTCTAGGTATGGACTTTTGACAGATTAAACAATCGGTGTTTTAGGGATAGAGGTGTGCGGGTGAAGTACGGGTTTCGACCGATACCGTTGCCTTAACTTCGAGTTATACGTGCTGAAGCCCTTGGAAAAGGAATGAATTCATTTATTCGCCCAATAGCTTTTGGTAAAATAATAGGACAAACTAGAGTATCTAACCTGGATAGAGCCCGCAGTCTAGAAGGAGGCAAATCAATATTCAAATCTCGGATAAGATCGACGATTACCAACCCCACCATCTTTTCCAGGGACAGTTGGGCTAATTAACAATTTAAAAATATTAAATGCAAAGAAGGGTTTAGCTAAAATTCTGAAAAGAAAAGTGTGTTTTAAAAATGCGACTGATGAGCAATTTAAAGCGATAGAGATGTTGTTTAAACATATTTATGTGGGAAGATTGCTCAATGTCAGGAATAGACCGTATATAGATATAAAGAGAGTGGACATAAAAAATGAACTAACGAGAGAATAGGTTTCCTTATATCTGTTTTTTGACATTACTTTTACTTTGCCTTATTTGTGTTACTTTTTGCCTTATATTGTTTCTTTGCCTTATTTCTGGGGGTGCCTTATTATTGTTTCTTGCTTTGCATATATTTTTTAATTGCTTAAAATTATTTTTGCCCTCTACTTTTCTTTTCCTTCTCTTATTACTGTTTATTCTACATTTTGTTAATTCTGTTTGTTTGGCATTTCTGCCAATTATATTAACCATATATATATATATATATATATATATATATATATACTCGACCCTCCGTCGAATTCGACGTATGAAGGTCAAGCAGATCAGTTCCTAGGAAACCGACAGCTCGACAACAGCACATGAGATTTCATTATAATGGTAAAGGTTTCGTGCAGGACCATCCACACTTTTTGAAGGGACGAATACAGAGACCTGGTGCACCACGTGCCACAGAGTCCCCAAACCACCCTTCGCAAGTTTTGAATTCAGAGTTGTCCTTCTCCTAGACCAGTTGCCATCCAAGGCTATAGAACCCAGTCTGTCCTACTATTTACCCATAGCTGGAGGGAGAAGAAGAGGATTCATAGCTTTCCCAAGGGTATTAGCACGTAAGTGAATGTAATGGATTTGACTGTTATTCAAACTCGGCTCTCTGATTCCTCAATCCAAGCCGTATCCATTACTAATGTTCACCCAATACTATGATAATGAGCCACTTAAGTTAGAGGCTTACTGTGTGGAGTTAAGTAAGATTAACGTAAAAAACGTCAAGCGTTAGGTGTACAGAGCTGAAGAAGACTTTAGAATGAACAGGAAATCCAATCCTAGCAGTTAGTGTATATATATATATATATATATATGAAAATTTCTTAGAGTTAACCTGTAGAAAAGACAATATTTATAAATATAAATGACAATAGGAAAACTGTAATAGTTGCCGACGCGTTTCGTCCAATGTGGACTTTAGACGAAACGCGTCGGCAACTATTACAGTTTTCCCTATTGTCGTTTATATATATATATATATATATATATATATATATAAACTGCATTCACCTGCAAAATGACTAAAAATAATGGAAGCTTTAATAATAAAATAGTAAAAGCCAACTCTTAGCAATATTAACTACGAACAAAGCCACAATGTGCTAACCGTATTCGGAAATTAAAAACATCCCTACCACACACTAAGACATACACATAACACACACACTCAATTAAGCTGAAAAATTGAATCATCCTTGATAATGGCTAAAGGTATATCCGAAAGCGCTCGGAAATATAAAACATTTGGACAGTTCTTACACACCCTTTGTCCAGAAAAGAAAGCTCTTGTTCGAACACAAGAAAATTAAATAAAAAGCAACTTAACCGTAGTACCTTTGTCTGTCGTTTTAATGAAACATACATATATATATATATATATATATATATATATATATATATATATATATATATATATATATATATATATATATATATATATATATATATATATATATATATATATATATATATATATATATATATATATATATTATATATATATATATATATATATATATATATGTGTGTGTGTGTGTGTGTAGAAAGAGAGGGGGTAGACAAAATAATGTTGTTTACATTATTTTGGCCTTATTTATTCTTCTAAAAATGTGTACCTCTGCATTTTTTTTTCTCGAAAGGCCATATTTCTTCAGTTTCATATCCGAAGCTTAAACAAAGCAATTTGTAACATTCCAGTGTTTTTCAAATTTCCTGGCTTCATCTGCCACATCCAAAAATCGGACTCTATGCTCAGCCTCTGCTCGGTCAGCTCACGACAGGACTGAATGTCGTCTATAAAGGGTGCTATCATTATCTATCTAGAAAAGCCGATTCCTGATAAGATTTGCAAATATCACCAAATTATATTCGTCAAATGTGACTTGAAGCTACAAACAATCATTTATAAGAATTTATGTCCTAATAATCAAAGTGACACTGTCGCTGGCATTCGAATGAAAACATAATTTCCATATGGCAGCTTTCATGAATATTTCGATTAAATGCCTGAACAACGAAATTTGTTTTTCTAGCTTTATTCACAGTTCTCTTTTATTTTTCTCTTTTTTTTTTTTTTGGTAAAATATCTAAAAAGGGTTATGGTCATATCATGTTGAAATACCGGTTCTCGTACAATCAACTAAGTTAAGCAACATCGATCCTGGTCAGTACCTAGATTGGTGACCGCTTGGGAACGCCAGGTGCTTTAAGCTTGGATGTGAGTGTGGTTTAATGGATAACGGCTCGGAATTGGAATTCAGAGATACGAGTTCCAATTCCATTTGAGTTTATTATATACACTTAAGCGTAAAAACTCTTGGGAATGGTATGAAGCCAATTCTTCTCCCCCAGCTATGAGTTAAATAATAGGACTTGTATCTGTAAAGCATTATTATTTCCAAAAAATACTTGCTATCTGAAAAATATTTTCTGGCTTTAGATAACTTGTAAAAGCTTGACTTGATAAGCCGTAAAAACAAATCAATAAGAATAAATCATAAAACTTGTGCATTATTTGGCTGCAAATTAGTATTTATCGCCAGAAAGTACCCAACTCCATCTGCCATGTTTGACCTTTACAAGAGTCAGATTAGACAACAAATGGAGTGTTTCTTCCATATCTTACCTGGAGCTTCACAATCTTCCCTTTCTAGCCTTGAGTTCAAATATATGTAGCGATGATCACTGTCATTCTCTGCGTATTCCTTTGGTTAGAAAGGCACTCCACTTCGATAGCTGTTATGTATGAATAAAGTATCACTGTCGACATTTGGGTTTGAACACAGATCACCAGCGAGCAAACACAGGTGATTCCCTAAGTAGATCAAGTGGTGCAAAGGAAACGTATATATGTGACGTCTAATTCTTCACTCTTTCTAAACTATCCTCTATCTCCATACTATTCACTATACTATTTCTCCATTCGGATCACTATTACTTTTCGAGCGAGTATTATCGAACAAGTACTATTAGTGCGAGTGCTATTTGAAGGAGTCTGACGTCAACATTTTTCAAGGGCGTATTATCGTTGTAACAGCGAGTACAAAGTTTCTACTACAGCGAGCATTACGAAAGTGACAACGAGTATTCGTTGACATCACAAAAAAGCTTCTTCCAAAAAAATCGTTACTGTTGGGAACAGACTCCTGTGTGGATGCTTTCTAGAACACTGCAATATAAAGTCTGGAGCGAGTCGTTATCTACTAATAACATTCTTCCTAATTTCTGTTATTCATATCATTTCCACCCGAATTCAGTAATCGCCGACATCGAGTGGCTTCTAGACTTTGTATAGGGTAAGTTATAATAAAAATCAAAATTAATTTGCTTCTAAAAGTTGTAATAAAACTATGTCCTGCCAAACACTTTCACGTAATTAAGTATAGATCTTAAAGCTCTTCGTTCTAATAAACTGACGACCCACAAACTTCCAACTTCAAGGTTACTAAATCTGAAGATCATAGGACACTAGTAACAGATCATTACGATTTACCCTCATTATTGTTCGAGAACCAACGTATTTATCTTGTCTGGCACCCTTGCTAAAGAACTGTTATGAATACACAAAACACTTCCTATGATTATCTTACCTTAAAGCAGAAGATACAATCACGAATTTCTCTATTGGCTCTGATACAGAAATATTAATATTTAAAAGGCAAAATACGCTGTTAGGTAAATGTGAGTTTGTTTTTCTTCAGGAATATTAGACTTCGTTAATTTGTATAAGAAATATAATTTTATAGATTCAAGTCTGGCTTGATATCTTGATAGTCACACCTGGTCTTGAAAAAATACGTTTACATATATATATATATTTCTTTGTGCGATGTTTGAAAAAATTGACACTCATAGAATATATGGAAGTCAAGGGAAAACAACGCATCACCGAATTAACGAGATCGTATAAATGTTTGGCAGAAAAGAATAGGTGAGATAGAGAAAAAAACAAATTTACTCAGAGCTGCAAAAGTTAGGAAATTGTGAAGAGTCATGATCGAACACGTCCTGAAGTGAGACCTCACAAAGAAGTAAAAGTTTGTGTAAATTGTTGGCAGAACAGGAATTTGGAGATATAACATAAACAAGCTTTACTAAGATTTAAAAAGGACAGGAAATTGTGGCGAGCCATGTTCGCACATGTCTTGAATGGACATGTCACATAAAAGAAGAAGAAGAAGAAGAAGACGACAAAGAAGAAGAAGATGAAGAAGAAGAAGAAGACGACAAAGAAGAAGAAGAAGAAGACAAAGAAGAAGAAGAAGCTTGTGCAAATGAATGGCGGAACAGGGATTAGGAGAGATGGCCAAAAGATAAAGTTTATTAAACAAACTTTACTAAATGCTACAATGGACAGGAAATTGTGGAGAGGCATGATAGCATACGTCTTGAAGAGACATGTCACATAGAAGAAGAAGAAGAAGAAGAAGAAGAAGAAGAAGAAGAAGAAGAAGAAGAATCTTTAAATAAATGGCAGAACATGGATTAGGAGTATCTGTCTATATTTCTGAGATGAGGCATTATGTACATTATTTACATTCCTCGGACTATTGTCCTCATCATTTTCGACATATTTATTACAACGTTTCGGCCGTTGTACGCTCCGGCCTTCCGGTGGTTGGAATGTCGAACTGAACCCTTTATTTCATTCCCTGGGGTAGACTGTTCTAGTTCAACGTGCCAAGTCTAATGGATGTCAGTTATAAGTTATCTCCTTCTAATTTCCCTCTGAATGTTCTCCACTGTCTTAACCAGGTATTGAACTCACACTCTTTGGGTCATGTCATTGGATCTAACCAACGCCTTTATCCACTGTGCCATATGTCCTCAAGAACACATGGTACAGTGGATAAAGGCGTCCAATACCCAATTAAGGCAGTGGAGAACTTTCAGAGGGGAATTAACAGGAGATAACTGATAACCTACATCCATTAAAACATGGCACGTGGAACTCGAACAGTCTACCCTAGTGTGCGAAATAAAGGGTTCAGTTCGACATTCCAACCACCCGAAGAAGGCCGGAGCGTACAACGACCGAAACGGTGTAATAAATTTGACGACAAAGATGAGGACAATAGTCCGAATAATGCAAATAAGGGATTAGGAGAGATGGCAAAAAGACAAAGTTTATTAAACTAACTTTACTAAATACTACAAAGGAAAGGAAAGTGTGGAGAGGCTTGATCGATCGAGTCCTGAAGGTACACGGTACATAAAAGTAGAACTTGATCCATCGAGTGATATGTGGTAATCAATTCTGAATTGCCCGCTTTGTTCTAATGGATACAGTTAGCTGATCCAAATTACGCAGCTGCTCTATTTTGATCTACTTTTAGATCCAGACTAATCCAGTGCCAATAGACTCTGTGGATTCTGGGGGAATTTTGAAATTATATAAGATAATTATCTTCCTTCTCCACATCAATGTCCTTTTTTTGCGGATATGCCTCTTTTCTGTAAGTGTATTCAATAGTTACTTTGTGCTTCTTGGAAGTAACATTTTTCCGGGCAATCATTGAGGTTTTTAGTGATATTTGGGAACGCTTTGGATATAAATTAGACTTGACATCTGCTCTTAGAGCGCTGGATTGTATTTGAATGAAAAACCTGCTTGAGTGATGGCAAAAATCCACCGACTTAATGAAAAATTGAAGTTTTAATTTTGGTTTTAATTGCAAGAAAATAACTAATCTAATATTTTTCCAACTTTGAAAAGTACCTATAATAGTATTTTCATATTACGTACCATAAATCTAGAATTTGATAAAAGAAAAGGAAGAAGTGGACTGGTAAGTATTGAGGGTTTTGGCGAATCGACAATCAAAGGAATCGAAATAGACGCTAGACAGATCATGAAAAGAAGAATAACAGGATCAGAAGAAACAAAGTTGAGAACAACTTGGCAACATCAGAAGAGAATTCGCTGTAGAAACTATGTCTACCTTAATAACGGCTTAATGCAATGTCTTAAAAATAAACTACAGTATGGTCCGAACGTCTTGCTACCCGTACGTAATATAATTTTCTTTTTCAGGTGGCTGACACGAGCTCCTAGAGTTTGGCGTGAAAAGATTTTCGGGCCACCCTATAATCAAATTCTGTTAATTGTAACGCATCCAAAACGTAACTGGCCTATTTTAATTATTAAAAGGACTGACGATTACCTCCAGGCGAGAAAGTCATGACACTCTTCTCTTTTTAACATTTTCCACTGACATGAATTTCAACAATTACATTGAAACAGCTGCTAGGTCATTTTTTGAATGATTTCACACATGTTTCTTCAATAAGATTTTCCGAACATTGAAGCCGATAGACGAAAATAAATAAATATACGGTTCAATAAATAAATATGAGTTACTAATAATAATAACGTTTAAAGTGATAAAATCTGACGGAATAATAAAAATCGACTTTTTTTTCTTTTTTTTCTTTTTAGCATTTCATCCCAAACAAGGCGGGAGTGCCACTAGCCCGCAAGGGGTTACAGAGAGTAAGAACAAGAATAAAAAGGGGTGTTCGGGGAAATGATATGAAGAAGGACGGGGGTCAGGATCAAGGCATAAGAAGATGTCGATCGACATTACATTTAAATATTTGAAGATTATAGCTATCAGGGAGCAAGTAGGAGCGAGGGACTTCCACTGTCGGGAAGTGTGAGAGAAAATGTTAGAGTAGAAGTGGTGGTTACATTTAACTGTTTCAACCGTGAAAGGGTGAGACCTAGGGGCCAACCTAGTAGCACGCTTCAATTGATGCAGATGGGGGGACCAGTGTAAGTGGCTTGTCAGAGCAGTTGCCAAGAAAATATTTGTAGAAAAGACATAGGGAAGCCACATTACGTCTGTGAGAAAGTGACTGTAGACAAGATGCCAGAACACATTGCATATTCGTCTTACGATTTTGTCGATGACCTCAAGATGAACAGCAGGGTCACCAGGCCATATATGGCAACAGGATTCAATGCAAGGACAAATGGTAGATTTGTAGATTTGAAGTATAGACTCAGACGAGAAAAACATTCTGGCGTGACACATAGAACCAACTTTCCTTGCAGTAGATGAAGCTATTGATTCAATGTAGTTGTTCCACCTCAGGTCAGTGGAAAACGTCAGGCCAAAAAGGCACAGAAAGGCGATCTCGTAGAGTTGAGCATCATCCATGCTGATAGGTGGCAGGATTTACTTTTAACATAATCTTTCTTGA